CTCATCATCATGAATGTCCTTCAGGGTGTAGGAGAGGACAGTGATCCCCATGTTGATCAGGTCGCTGGATGCCACCTCGAAGACGTTCTGGTTGAACTTCTTGCGGTCCTTGTAGATCTCCTGTGAGAAGGGAGGCACGGACATATACCAAAGTTTCTCTGACATGTTTTATGGATTTATTTGCACTCTGAATTATCAAGCTGCTTAGCCTTTGTATCCATCACAATTAAGTAAAAGATTACCTCCATTATACCTAACATTATTATAATGCTGAATACTATGATAAATCCTAGACGATGAAGTTTGTCCCCTTGCAACAAATCTTGCTAACTTTTTTTTTTCCTTTTTTAATGAGGAGTCTCAAGGGGGAAGATTTCAAGTCTCCCATTCATTCCCTCCTTTCCCATACATTTCTATCTACCTCTTACCTTGGATGTAGAAAATACAAATCACTATGGTAGAGGGTGGGGTATCCGTAGATGATTTGCCATGCAAGCAATGTGCAATGACGTCATCCAAGATGGTATGATGCAACCGCACACTTCCTACTGACTTACAGCATTCAAAAAGGAGGATAAGATGCAAAAGGGGGCAGGAGAGCAAAAGAAGAGGGGGATATGCCCACATTAAGGTCAAAGTAAGGGTATTATATTCAACTGGGTATGAATGCTACTCAACCAACTTCCATCCCTTCTTGCTGCTAGCAGATGGACAAAGGTAATTTTCATCACTACAAGAAGAAAATACCTGTTGAAAAACATGAGAAAACCTCCAACATTAAAATTATTTTTATCTCAAATACTACAAATCACAAGTAAATTCCAAAGGATTATCACCTACAATCTAAATCTGATACTTAGTCTAAAGCCAGAATCTTTAAGTCTTATTCTACCTAAGCTACATTCATTAACCCACTCACAACAGGAACTCCCAGCGCTATACTGAGGCACGTGCAGGGCAACCTGCAGTATCAGCCCCTGTAGAGAAATATGAGAAGCATGATAATGTGATGGGAAATCATCCCAGCATTGAATGACAGTAAAGCCATGATGTGATATGTCATGCATTGTGAGTGGGTTAAACATAAATGAAAATAAAATAATTTTCAACAATCTAAAAAAAAAAAAAAGAGGTAAAAGCTTAGAGCCATGCATAAGGTATTGCTACATAAATATCTTGAGCAAATCAATGCAACCATCAAACAATCCTATCAACAGAATCTAAAGTCCAACAGAAGAGGAACCTCTGCATCATATGGAAGTTCTGAAATCAGGCAATGTTCCTATTTTGTTGACAGATAAAATTGAACAATAAATTAAATATCACACTGAAGTGCAGCAAGAGTAAATTACTTTCTGCTAAAGGTCTTTTGCCGAACTGCAATACAACAAAAAGGTCTGTATAATCTTGTGTTTTCCAGTTCTTCCTTGTTTTCTATTGTTTTGAGCTTGTTCAGCATGAATCCCATAATGATGGGTCAAAAATATCACATGCTCTTTTACATGTTCAATAAACTTTAAATGAATCTTTAGAACTTACACACTTTCTGGTACATCTTTGGAAAATCCTGATTTCAAATATAAAGTTCACATCTACCTAAAGCATGTTTAATGGGTATATGAGATGTGTCAAAAAATTACAATAAGATCTACACCTTGACCAACTACAACCTAACCTAACTACATCAATGAAATCTACTAACTAAAAATATGTAGTAACAGCATGATGGGTAAACAGTGAGTGGCATGTACAGGCATGCTGTATTGTGCATATTTTACATCCTGGATTACCAACAATGTATGTGGGAAAAGAGGGAATATATGAAATTACAACTACAAAAAATCTCCCAAAGAATCCCTTCACACTACTTTTATAGGCAATTTCATCCCATGACTTACAAGTAAAATAATTTTGTGCAACATCTAATAATAGGAAACTGGTTTCCATTCATTATCCCACAAATTCCATTTCTAAAAGAGAAAATCTAAATTTACATCTTTCCTTTTTTTTGTGTGTGTGTGTCTTACAATATGTGCATATGTTTGCATATGCATATGTAAATGTATCCCTAAGTATATACATACATACACATACATGTACAGGTAAGTATGTGTATTCTATATATATATATATATATGTATAGGAATATGTACGTACGTACGTGTGTGTGTGTGTGTGTGTGTGTGTGTGTGTGTGTGTGTGTGTGTGTGTGTGTGTGTGTGTGTGTGTGTGTGTGTGTGTGTGTGTGTGTGTGTGTGTGTGTGTGTGTGTGTGTGTGTGTGTGTGTGTGTGTGTGTGTGTGTGTGTGTGTGTGTGTGTGTGTGTGTGTGTGTGTGTGTGTGTGTGTGTGTGTGTCTGATTTCTATTTGGAGATCTCCAAAACAAAGTAAATGTAAAATAAAATAGCTGAATAAAAAAAAAAAAAAAAAAAAAACATAAAACAGGAAGAAACTCATCTAAAATAATTTAGGGAATGTTAAATGCTTGTGAACCACCACCA